ACTACACTTAACCAACGATACGGCCAATTATACAGACTACTGACCAGAAAATCTCAACTTTCAATTGACAACAAATTACTGATCTACAAGACAATCCTGAAACCTATTTGGACCTTGAACTTTGGGGGACAGCAAAATTCTCTAACATCAAACGCATCCAATCCTTTCAATCCAAAGTCCTCCGAACAATAGTCGATGTTCCGTTCTATGTAACCAACAAAACCCTACATCATGAGCTTAAGATCCCATTTGTCCTTGACCTTATCCCTGAAAAATTTTCAAAATTCCATCAGAACCTTATCAATCATCCAAATCCCCTAGCCCAATCTCTATCTAGTTCCACTCATCCCTACGACCCTCCTCGAAGGTTGAAGCGCCAGTGGCCTAGAGATCTTTTATAGTATTTATTTTGGAGTTCTGGCAATGGCCAGATTCTCCACTCAAGATATGAGTGTATGTGGCTAAAGCGCTCTCGCTCAAACTCCACCGGCTTTAGCACCGGTGAGGCGGTTGAGAGAGTAGCGTGGGGATTTGGGTTCTCCGCCTGATTGTATATATTGTATATAGGTGTGACTGTTTTTATGTTTTTAATTTACTTGTATTTAGGTTATTTTATTTTTTTATTGTATATAGTTTTTATTTATTGTTATTTAGTTATTATTTTGCTTTTGTTAATTTTTTTTTTGTATATACGGTGTGAATGTATTCATTTATCAATATAATTATTTTCCCTGTGACAGAATATTATATGTCTAAATAAATAAATAAAAAAAAAAAATTGTTTTCAGAAAATTAAACACACACACACACACATATATATATATATATATATATATATATATATATATATATATATATATATATATATATATATATATATATATAATCATGGTTTTATAAAGGAAATAACAATCATACTCTAATTAAACAAGATTTAAGTCCAATTTTTTTGTCTACAAAACAACAGAAATTTAGTAGTTTAAAAACTATGTAGGAGATACGAAGCTGGTCGATCCTCGTACTCTATATATTCCTCTTTTTAATAGTATATTTTTGATTTATATACCTTAGTCTCGCCTGGTAAATATAATTTACTAATTTTTCACCTATAAGCCAAAATTATAGGTGAAAAGTTAGTAAGGTCCCATTAGTGTTCCAGGAACAACCATCTAGCAATAAGAACATCACGACATAGATTTTTCATAATTTCTTTAACTAATTCGATACCTAATTTATGTTTTTTTTATGTTTTTAAATTGTTTGGTTAAAGGAATTGGAAATTTAATGGGTGTCAGCTACTGGAGTACTGTATTGGGCCCATCCAGCTACAAGAACAGCTATAAGGTAGTGCTGTACAAATGCGAGACCAAGACGAGTCTTGGTCTTCACCACTCAGTCTTTGTCATGGTCTTAGTCTTGCAGGTACATATTAGCGTAAAATTATAGAGATATTACTGTAATTTTTCAGATAGTGGAAACCTAACTAAGCCCGAATGAAAAATTGGAAGACTTATATGCAAAAATATATTGGTTATATCAATTCTTTTCATATAGTAATTAAAATTTTCAGGTATTACTAACTATTTTGCCTTAAGTTTTGTTCACAAAAACGATTTTTTTTTTACTAGTCTTGGTCTTGGTCTTGTTCTTGCGAAGTGCTACATTAAATAGGTAAATAACAAAACTTATAGGTATTATAGGTAAGAAAAATATAATAACATCAATTTAAGTTTTTACACCTAAAAGTTCAAACACATTTCCTTAAGCACATCAGCCACAGGTGAATTTACCGTACTAGTGTTTGCTGACAGATTGATACGTTACGTATATTTAGATGTTTTAAAAAAATTATTTTGTTTTCATCTCCTAATATTTACTTTAAATAAATTCACTAAAACACAAATCAGAGTAAAGCAAAATAAAAAGTTTCTCTACAAACTTTTCTTTTTTCCCTCGATATACCAAAGGTATATTACATTTTCAGTAAAAATTTACTGGCAAACAAAACTTGGGAGTTCAGCCGAAATAAACCAGATTTCGTCCAATCTGAGGAGATAAGATAATTTGTCAGCTTATTCCTCACTAATTCAGTTAAAGTTCGCAGAAACGAGCGGAGACTTTGACGTTAATTTCATTAAAAAATATTGCCACCCCTTCATGAAATTATAATTTACAATTCTAATTAATCAATGACAATTATACATTAATCGTTGAATTCACAACACAACACTGAAGAAAGCTATGTGTACTACTGCGATCATTTAAATAAGTATTTATATTAAATCGACTTATGAATGGTCTCATATCGAAGACGGAAATCTGTAATTTAAAAAAAAAAAAAAAAAGCACGAATCCAGATGTTTTCAAATTCAGAGATGATTTTTCATATTTAATTTGATAATCATCTGATTCGAACTTCAATGACGCAACCTATGAATAGCGGTCAGAGTAGACGGACTTTGTCAGCAACACTTGGCGATGAAGTATGGCCATAGAAGCCTGCTGTTAATGCCCACTCAGGAATCTTCAGCACTTTACAGCCCGGTTTGGACACAGATTGAGAACCAAGGAGAGAAATATTGCATTCCAGGTTCTAGTCAGCTATTTACAGAACTGGCCATTTGTGTCCCAGGCCAAGTATCTGCCTTTATCCTAGTTAAGGTGTTAGGAAATTATATAAATAATTAAATAAATTATCCAACATTATTCTGACTGAACCATGGTTTAAGTATCGATACTCTACTCAGTCTATGTGTGAGTAAAGTCTGTGTGTTTAATTTACATTTATATTTGTAAATCATGTCCATCTTTGTATTGTATTATAGGAGACAATGTTCCATAACTTTGAGCTATTAAAATTTGTTTCTTCTTTACTAAATTATTTATTGAAAAATGGTCATGGTGTCGTTTACTTCCGGGGCGCAGATATTAAGAAAGCAATTGTTTATACAAGAGGAAAGTTTCCTTATAAACAGGCACATGCTATAACGTAAATGTACCGGTAATAGACACTTCAAGAGAAAGTTTTAACGTTTAATGTGAACTATAACTTTAGTTCTGAGATTGTAATTGCCAAATTGCATCAGAACCTTATTAATCATCCAAATCCCGTAGCACAATTCCTATCCAACCATCCCTACAATCCTCCTCGAAGGTTGAAGCGGCAGTGGCCCAGAGATCTTTTGTAGTATATATCTTGGAGTTCTGGCAATGGCCAGATTCTCCATAGACATGAATGTATGTGACTATAGCGCTCTCGGTTGAGAGAGTAGCGCAGGGATCTCTTGGAGTCCTGCTTTTCCTTCTATAGTTGGGGGAGAAGCCTGGCTTGGGATTCCCTGCCTAATTGTAATAGGTATGATTGTGTTTTTATGTTTTTTAATGTACTTATCTTTAGGTTATTTTTTTTATTGTACATAGTTTTTGATTATTATTTTACTTTTGTTATTTTTATATTTTCTGTATATGTGAATGTGTTCATGTATCAGTGTAAACTATTGTTCAGGTGACTGATTGTTATAATTTTAAATAAATAAATAAAAAAAAAAAAGAAAAATAGTTTTGAGAGAGGATAAAATAATGCAGGATTTTGGTTTTAAAAGAAGAAAGATTTACAACTGTTTTATTCAGTCAAAATAGTCACCACTTCTATCAATACATTTTTCCAACGTGTTGGCAATTTTTCCATTCCCTTAGAATATAATTTCCCATCTTAGGAATTGATATACTTCAAAAACACATTTTCTAATTACGTTTGTCCATTCAATTTTTTGTCACGAAAGTAGTGGTTCAAATATCTAAAAAAAATAATCCGTAGGCGAGAGGTCAAGAAAATAGGGCGGATATGGCAGAGTTTTATATCCAAGGTGTATCAAACGTGTCAATTGACTTATCCAACACAAACCAAATGAAGTCCATCAAACAGTAACTACCCCTCTTTTTGATGAGTTGGGGGCTTTGGAAAATGTTGTGCTGCTTCTCCTTTGTTGAGGCACTATCCAGAACGTCCACTGTTATTCGAAAGTATTCACTTTCGTCACAAGTAACAATTCTAGACAGGAAAGGTCGTTTTTGTTTCGAAACAGTACTTTCCCTAAATAGTACTGAACCCAAGACCCTTCATGGGTTGTAGTGGTACAGGTTTTTATATTATTAAAAATCCAAAAATAAATTCTGTTTAGTTTTTAAGCTATCAAATGGCAAATTGCAGATGAATGAATCAAAATTAAATCTAAATTTTAAACTTATCCTTTTAAGAAAACCTCCTCTAAACAAAGACCCAGCCTTATTTCGATAAAAAATCAACTGCAAATCCGCTATTGTGGTATCATATTAATAGTTCAGACATTGCTCATTTAAGTGTTCTAACTACAAACCTACTACTATTTGGACGTTTTTAATGAGTTGAAAAATGTCTATTTATTTATAACTAGTAAATTTGCCTTACGCCTTATTGGTGAATCAAATAATATAATATAGCGCATGTAAGAGATTTAAATTTTAATTTTATTTCTCATTTACTTATTGTATTCTCTATGTAATACAGTTGTAAATTCCATTGAAATAAAAAAAAAAAAAAAAAAATTTTAATTTTAACAGATTCCAGAAATAATATTGTTTTTACAGGATAGGTAACGTCTGTGATTTGGCAAGAAATTCTTATATTAACGGAGCTGGTATTAATCCTTGCAGTACTCCAGACAAAACTGGCTGAATTCAAGAAATTCTATGCCCTGCCGCATAGAAAAAAAATTTGGCGAAAAAAATATTCAAGGATAAGATAGTATATAGATAGGTAGTATACCTTTGAATTTAAAGATAAAACTTCATCAAATACCTGAGCAGCATCAAACCATATTTATAGTCTGGTAATAGAATATTTATATTCATATTTATGTTACTTTTTAACATTAAATATGTCAGTGAGATGAGGGAACTCTATCGTATATGTCTATAATAATATTATATTTAATACAACTTTATTATAACATTGGACTTACGTCAAGCTCGTTCATGAGCCTCTCCTTGTCGGCGGGCTGTGCGGCCAAGGACTTGACGAGGAGGAGGCAAAGGAGAGCGGCGATGGCTTGGGCGAGTCCGCGCATCTTGGTTCAGCACAAGTTGTAATCTCTGGAAGGAAAAGAAGAAACTATCTTATAATAAATTATATAATAACAATGTAGTTTAGATTGTTAAATAAAGTAATAATAGTTATATAGTTTAGCGATTTAGATTCTAACAATATTATGTCATACCAGACTGAAACGAGAAGAAATCGCTCGACGTTTCCGATTACTTCAGCACTTACTAGACAAACGCTCTAATCTTCCAATTAATTACAAAAGAATCATATACATGACTATAATAAGGCCTCTTTGGACTTACGGAGTTGAGCTGTGGGGCTCCACTAAACCATCGAATTCTTCTCATATCTAATTCTTACAATCCAAAACCCTTCGTAAAATCCTCAATGCTCCCTACTTTGTTACAAATAAAACCATCCATAATGACCTTATTGTTTCTTATCTGGCACAATCCAGATACCTATCCTTCATCCAGATATCCTGATAAATTTCAGCATCATCCCAACCCTCTCGTTTCTAGCCTTGCTTTCTCTTCAATTCCTGATAACCCTCCGAGGCGTCTGAAAAGAAGATGGCCCCGTGATCTTCTAATGTAGACATACCATAACAGTGCTACCATTGGGTAGTTTCTCAACAAGTGTTTTCTCGTCATTATACGCATATGGTCAAATTTATTAAATGTATTTCAGTAATACAGTTGTAAATACCATAAATACAATCATCTTATCACCTGCAACTTTTTTTCTACGAAAAATCTCAGAAATAGGTTGTTTCCCCATTACATTAATTAGCTAATAAATACTCTTGAATACCCATTCGCCATCTACCTGAATTAATAGAAAACTGTACCGGTTCGCCTACATAAATACTTTATTTTGACACTTTATTGGAGGAAGTCACGACTAATAGCCCAATATTTTTGTAAGCCACCTTTTTTTATCAATTTTGTGATCAGAATATCTTACGATTCAAGTCCAAAGCAATGAGTATTAATGAGTTATAATTAATATACTAAATTTTCTTTTTTACAGATTGAAAACGAACCATTTCCGGGAATTTTCATAGATAAATAAGCTGTAGGTTACAATAAGGCCATTCACGAAGTTCTCGAGACATGTTAATAATTTGATAAAAAGGTATCTGTAAAATAGACGAATTGAATTTGACTAGATTAAAAACTAAATTCTATTATGAAAAAAACATTGAACATAATTATAAATAAATATTAATATAAGCGTAAAGGCCTTTGTTGATAACCATCGTGGTGACCGGGTAACAGAATTCCCCAATTTCATAATTTACTTGGACATATCAACAGACTAAGAAAAAATATGGCTTCAGCTGACATGAAATTGAATAAAAGGATGAGATTATAAAGTATAAGAAAAGATACAGCTGTGGAAGTGGACGTTACTTCAAACGACTCTAAAAATATTTTTACAGGCCACCTTTTTTTGTTTCCATTTCGTTATCAAATTATCTTACAACTAAAGCAAAAGAGTATTCATGACTTTTTGGTACCTCATTAAATAGACAAAGTTTCTCTATCTCCAGATTAAAAACGACCCATTTCCAAGAATATTCTTAAATAAAAAGTTGAAGACTTCTTAAAAGTAATAAGATTAGTTTTCGATGGATGTTAATAATTTTTTTAAAAGGGCTCTGTAAAATGGCTGAATTGAATTTAACAAAATTAAAAAGAAATTCTATCATGCAATAATAATAAATATACTAGTGGGCCCGTGCGTATAATTCACAGAAAATTTTGTTTAGTGAAGAAATAGCAAAACGATATGGAAATAAGTCGATGCTATGTATTATGTAAGGAAGGAATTAATATTTTTTTCCTTGGTCGATTACAATATTCCATTTAAAATAAAATACCAAAATATTTGTACAAATTGCTTTTCTAGGGCCTATTTTTAAATGCTGACTGGAAAGATGATAAAGACAAAATATAGCGTCGATCCTGGTATTTTCTAAATTATTAAAAAAAATAAAATGTAAGAGCAAACAAATGCCTTTAAGAAATAATAAAGTTAATATATCAGCCTGGAAAAAACAGTGTAGTTGACTATTCTACTCCTAAATGCAATATCTTTAAAGAGGAAGACATTATTATGTATACGATTTTTGTTTTGTTTTGTAGGTAATTTAGTAATCTTTTTAGTTTAACACACCTATAGAGAGTACATAAATAAAAACTCCTAACAGGTTCTTATTTTATAACTTGAGTTCTAAATTATTTAGGGGAGTACAATTTGTGTCATTTCGTGTAGTTTATAATGTAGAAGGATATCGAAGTTATCACACTTTTTGTGATTTTTGAAAATAAAATCAAAGGGGGGTGTCTTATGTCAAATATGTAGAATTATTTTTTTATTTTCCATCGCGAAGAATATTCATATTCGACTGTCTTTCGAGCTGCGAAATACCAATCTCAACTCTGTTTCTATTTAAATAAAATATTTCAACACACTTTACTCATTCCGTACAAACTACATAAAATACAAATTGTTTAGATTGTACATATTTCTAATAGATTTTTACGATTTTTTTTTGTTTTGTAGGTGGTTTAGTGGATATTTCTAATTAATATGGGTACATTCATGAAAAAAACATGCATACTTTTTGAGTTATTCGCAAATAAAGTTTCTTTTCCTTCATAACTTTTTCCACACAAATTTCTGGAGTATAGGACTATTTTTTGCATGTGAAAGAGAAGAATATCTTCAAAATGAGTGGTAAATCATTGGATTTGATGAAGAATTGGCGAGCTAAGTAGTTTCGTCAAAGAAAAATAACAGGCATTTCCCACCTTCAGTCTAACCTTAATCTCTTCTTCAATTTCGTTTTTTATAGTTATCGTAGAACCTAGATACCTACATTTCTCTATCTGTTCAAGCATATTACCATCTATATCGATATCATCAGTAGTATCGCCATTTTTGCAGCTAACCATATATTTTGTTTTATCTGCGTTTATTTCGAGCCCTAATTCTTTACCGGCTATATAGGATAATTATAAATAAATATTTATAGAATCATAAAGTACTTTGTTGATAACCATAATGGTAACTAAGTAACTGACATTCAAAATTTTATAATTATCCACATGGACATACCAATAGACTAATAAAAAATAATATGAGAAAATACTGCTGGATGCTGGATACCCTTCCTCAAACTGCACGTCATTATTTTGTGTATTATATCCATTTTTTAATTAGATAGATAGAAATTTTATTTGTTTTGGGGGGTTTCCCATATAAATAGAGCCTAGCTTGGCTATGTAGAATAATATGGTTTTACAAGTTACTTATATATCATTTAAATATAAATAAAATTTACAATATTTTACGTTTAGAATGGGTTTTACAAAACATGAATAACAATAAAAAAAATATTTATATATATATATATATATATATATATATATATATATATATATATACACATATTTATATAAACATAAACAAAATATTACTTTTAAGATAAACTAAAAACAAACACTTAATAGAACATGGGATATGATCAGCAATTTTGTGTATGCACTTTTTGTACTCCAATCATATAATAATAAATTTTATTTAAATTATCTATACAATCGATATTCAATATAGTTTCTATGTTGTGGTCATCAGAAGATTCTGAGATGAAATTATGGAGGAATTTTTGTCTATAGTCATTGTATGCTGGTATGATGGAGAATGTGATGTAGACTATTGTAGATAAATTGACTGCATGATATACAAGTTTATTGAAACTCAATCGAAAAAGTTTTGTTTTTTGCATAGATTCTGATATGTTCTGGGTTCGCCACTGTTAATTGACAAACACTTCTCAATTTCTTTATATGGGGTATAAAGGGTGGTTAGTTGAGTTTAAAGTTTTTTGTATGTAGGCTGAGAAATAATGGTTGTGTGCTTTTTCCAGGATGTCGTCTTTGTATCGAAGAAGTCCGCTTGTGGGGTGAACAGAAAGCTCTTCTGCAGAGGCATTAAGCTCGGCTATTGCTCTAAATTGAGACACCCAATTGAAGTCTATGTTAGGCTTATCTGTGTCTAATGAATTAAGTCTATTAAAATAGAGTTTTGGGAGTCGCTCTTCTAGCATGAACTCGAGCTTGGTCCATAGATTTATCATATTTTTTATCACTTTCATGCTTAATGGTTCTCTTCCTGTTTCGAGGCGGACTATGTAGTGTAGTATATATCTGGGCCAACCAAACAGTTGCTTTAAAAATTGTTAAAAAGTTGGACCGTTTCGATTGCTATATTTTTTAAATTATTAACAGTTAGTTGACAATGGTGGTATTATTATAGTAAAGATGAGTGGTCACGTCCATAACCTACTTTAAAGAATCTGATTGAACCAGTTGAAAATTTATAACAAGAGAGCAGCCGATACCCGAAGCTAAAAAATCTAATAGCGACCCTTGATTTAGCTCCAGTGAATGGATGGGAAAAAAGTGGTGCAATCTCGGCGAGGGGGCGGACACAATTGGTTGAGGTTTTGTGACCCGGCGGGGAGAGGTTTTTTTTCACGGATAAAGCGATATCGATACTGGATACATGGAAGGTGACAATATTGAACGATATATCTCGGCGGCCGTGCTGGATATTGAGCCTTACATCAACTGTCGTCGAAGAGGAACATCAAGCAGGCACTGTGTCGGCCCTCCACCATCCGGTCCGCCCATGGCGGTACCTTATCAGGATCATTTTTCAAATTTAAATATTTTTTTTCCATAACATGAGAGGAAATATGTCAAAAGTCAATATTTCCACGATCGAAATATTAATTAAAATACATTTAATAAATAAATTAAAATACGTTTGATAAATTAATTAAAATATCTTCCATAAAAAATCTAAGCTCTAGTTTATATTAAATAAGTATCAATGTGTTTTAATTTTTTTTTTTAATTTAATGTTGTCTCATGTTTCATTTATTCTGTTATTCCAAGTTTTCTTTTGTTATAATCTTGTTATTTAACCGGTAAACTTTTCTTAACCGTTTTTAGTTTACACATTTTATTAATTCATGTAGCTT